AGACAGGTTATAAAAGAGTTAAAAAGCACCATTAACCCAGATCACAGAATGATGCTAGAGGTACATAAAAGCATACAAAATTAACAGAACTAATTCTAACAGGATCGCAGTACTCCCACTATGACTCACTGTCTGAAAGGTTATATTCTTTTCAGTAGTTTGACTCCCTTAAAACAGGGGTTTGACTTGCAACTAAGACAATGCCTTGCAAAGCTTTGTAGCTTTGCAAAAACAGCTATCCACTCCCAAAAGGAACTGAGCAGGTGGAAAGAAGCCAAAAATAGTCTATGCTAAACCTCATCTTAGGAAATAAAGATGATTATTGAAATATAATTGAAAAAATAAGGAGAAAATGCAACACGACACTGGTCCAGAAAACATGTATTTCTTGTACCTTTTCCTCTTTTGCTATCTCCTGTTTCCCTCTGGTATCTACAGACTTTACTCCAGGTCCTCTTGATGATGTTCTGCATGGCAGAGGTTCCAACCCACTAGAACTCACACCTGGGGCAAGCTCAAACATCCACTGAGCTCTGAACATCTGCAGCTCTGCCTAAAAGAGTCCATTATGTTCTGATTTAGTACCACATATTCAGACAGTAGATCTTCCAATCAGAGATGATATAATACTAACCCAAAAGAGAAATCAAAATTATGCTTTATACAAGTCCTAAAGTCAATTTAGACATGGAGAATTAGCCATTGTTCTAAGTTTTTTGTTTTAAGTACACATACATTTGTTCAATATAATTCAATAACAAATGCCTTTATCTGGACTGTCCACGTCAGAAGAAAAGCTCTTTAAATTAAAATGTAGAATTTAGCTAATTTTCATACATAAGCATACTAAACTTCATAAAAATCAAGACTGCCATTTGGAATAAAGTACACTTGAGGCCCTACATCCTTTCTCTTCTTAAAATGAACTGCTATGTTCTGTAAAACAAGACAAGTCATTTTTGCCATGTGTTTTTCTAGCATTTTTGAAGTTATGCTTTAAATGTTGCAACTGTCAAGGCTCCTGGAGAACAACTACATAGAAAGCAAGTAATGTAAGCAAATGTGCTTTTCTATCAGACTGCTTTTATCAACTTCCTACTCCAGAACAAAGAGACAAATTAAACCTGAGTTTAATCCATACAGAAATTGCTGTCCGATTTCTATCTTCAAAGAAATTCAAAATCTGACACAAACTTTCATCTGTACAGACTACTTACAACTGACTCACACTCTTGGAACACACAATGCAAAATTCAACTAAACTACTTCACTTTTGGAGGGGCAGAGAGATTAAGCACATCAGATCAACAAATACATGGTAACCAAACGAGCATTAGCAGCACGGCTTAAATCACAGCAGTGCTGTGTTTGTGATAAAACACCAGCATACGAGACGTACCTGAAGGTTTGCTTCACCAGATCTTTCAGTGTCATCAGTTCTTACCATATCAGAGTGACAATCTTCTTCAGCTTCTGCCTAGTAGAGAATGGTCCAGTGTGATTAGTCTGCCAAGTCCCAGCAGAACCTTCATAATGCACAGTCATTACAGATACTCATAAGAAAAAACCACACCACCACACACAAGAACCAAACACCTCCTTCCCTCCCCCACCCTACCTGCACTTCCACCTGATCAGTCTTAACTGATGATTAAACTTCATCTTAAATCAACTGGTGTTGTCTGCACTTCCCTGTTAACTCAATGAAATGTTTTGCACTTCAGCCATATCAACCCAATACAGACTAACCATGTTAAGACACACATACATCAGCACACTGCCACAGTACCCAGCTAAGAACACCCAGGGCTCAAGACACAGAATCAAAGCTTTAGTACTACACAGTAAGAAATTAATGTAAGAAATTAAAGATCAATCACTATCTTCTCATTGTAAAGGTAACCAACAGTTTTGATTTCTTTACTATTCAGGAAAGAATGAAAAGATTATTTCTTAGAGAAGAAAACAGCTATTTTATGAACATTATGGGACACTCTGGGCAATCTCAAAAAACTACATATGAAAATATACACCGTATACAATACAAAATTTTCACTCAGAGGGTGGTGATGCACTGGAACAGGTTGCCCAAGGATGTTGTGGATGCCCCATCCCTGGAGGCATTCAAGGCCAGGTTGGATGTGGCTCTGGGAAGCTGGTCTGGTGGTTGGTGACCCTGCACATAGCTGGGGGGTTAAAACTAGATGATCTCTATGGTCCCTTTCAGCCCAGGCCATTCTATGATTCTGTGATATACAGAAGCCACCTTAATGTAAAAGCAGTGAAGAAGCTAGCATGAGAGTGTGACAGCTGGTTTCATTTACAATACTGCTATGAGATAAGTTAAACAAATAAGACTTTAAATAAGACCTTCAACCTAACAAGGGCCTTGTTAAAATTAAACAAGCTCTGAGCATCAGTGACAAAGCCACCATCAAAAATAAACAAACCCTAACACCAAAGATTTTTCAGAGGAGGAAACGGGTAAACAGCAATGTTCCAAAGCAGCAGAAGAGCTACAAGTGAGCAAGTAGTAACTTAGAATTTGACTGGAGGCAGCTCCTGTTGTAGGAGCTAAAGCTGTCCTACTGCAACAGCAATGCAGCATACAGGGATTACATCCATGCTGGACAGAGACAGCTGGATAGCAAGTTAGCTCTGCAATCAATGTCTGGTAAGGGCACTATTGCAGCACTGTGGTGACACAAGGAGGACCTATTTCTGCCTGTGCAGAGCGTGAATATAAGGCTTCTGACGTGCAGCTGAATTATGCCCAGTCAACTCTCAGCCTGGGCAGAGCAGGTCTGGTTTTATCTGCAAAATGCAGAGACTGATAGAGCTATTTCTAAACCAGATCAACACGCTATCTTAGTGTGTATAAAGGTGCACCCATTAAAAGCATTAACCTGTGAAGTTTGCACATAAATTTTAAGACAAGCTGTGGTAAGAATTGGGATTACTTAGGTTTTGAAGCTGGCTGAAGTCCACCTAGCACTCACAGACTTAGTTTCAGTAACCATTCAGGAGTCTCGCTTTCCTTCCTGTTGTTTCTACTCCAGCCAACCTATGTCTCCTCCATTGCAGTCAAAAACCTTTCCCAGTTCTGCACCAACTGCTTCCAATCATTTTAGATGCTCTTTGAAACTTCAGCATGTTCTCAATCCAAACAAAAAATACAACATGCTATAGAGTCCTAGAGTAAAACGTAACAACTTTGAGCATTACAAGGCTCATTATAACCACCATTTGACTTTTGTTGCTACTTCCTCTATGCTGTTGTTATACATGAGCTGAAGTTTCATGATAGCTTTGTCTGCAGGAAGCAGTGGCAGCACATGCAACAATTTCTCCACACTTACCAGTAAAGCAATTAGTTCTCATTGCAACTGCATGGTTAACTGGTCTCTACTAACAACCTTTCTGCTATTTATTTGACCTGCAAAACCCCTATGGTTTTGCTAATACATATGAATGAATGCTCGGGTACTGCTAAAGCAAGCATCAGCACACAGGCAGCACTTGGGACCGTATGTAAGGCATGTAAAACTTAGCTCCTTCAGACCACTCTGACAAAACGTAAGCTACAGTTCTAGCTTCTGAAGCTCACAGAATACTGTACTGCAGCTACTGCTCAGTTAAAAAATTCCATCCTGTTCATCTTTATGCCACCGGCCTTCCTTCTGCAACCTGTCAGCTGTCACATCTAACAGCTCAGCGACTCTATCCTGCTTAAAAGGTGAGCCATCCTCACCCTATGCTGATCAGCTCAAGTGGTTTTTCCATGAGAAAAGCAGTAGCAAATCAAGCAACCAAAAGGTCAGTGTGGAAGCAGCGAATGTCTGAGCTAGACAGCGACCTCTAAAAAGGAGTCAGCCGAGCCTGTTCAATTCCAATTTGTTTGCAAAGCTTTAGAAAACGCTTGCAAAACACAAGACCAGCTTATTTGCACAGGTCAGTATTAACCCTTGCAGTCAGTAATTGCATGCTGCTTTCCTCAGAGCTCCACGGACGCTTCCTAAGGACTCAACGCTACAACTCAGTATTTCAGATCCTTGCTCCAGCAAAGTAAAGCTGCGATCAGAACCAGCTCAAGGCTGGCTGCCGCGGCTGAGCGGGGCTGCACGGCAGTTGTACGCGTCCATCCCACAGATGACACTGCAAAACAGGTCTGACGGCTAGCTGGCTCGTAAGGGAACGAGGACGTAACTCCATTTCTCCTCTCTACGTGGTAAAAATCAACGCTGTGTTCAAAAGTAAGTTTCAGACACAGCGGCAAGGAGTTTCAAGAGCTCCTGAACGACACCAAAGGGTTCCGGGTGCCCTCGAGGGCCGGGGCTGCGATCTCAGACACCTGAGCTCACCGCAGAGGTGCCGTCAGAAGGGCGGAACCGAACCCAGCACCGCCGCGACGCTCAACGGCAAACGCAGCGCGAGGAGCCCAGGCGGCACTGCGTGGCAGGACGGGGAAGGCAGGGCAGCTCCGGGCGGCGCGGCCGGGCGGGCCCCGCGGCGGGCAGGGCAGCACCCAGCGGCGGGTCGGGCCGGGCCGGGCCGTTCCCCCCGCCCGCAGGTCCCCGCCGCTCACCATGCTGCCGGCGCTCGGGCGGCGCCGTCCCGTCCCGGGGGCCTTCGTCCCCCCCGCTCGGCCCGCGCGTCGTCCCCGCGGGGGAAATTAGCAGAGTTCTCGGTCGGAGAAGCGCACCACGCAGCGGGAGTAACTGCGGGCCCGGCGTACGGCAGCCATCTTCCCGGCGAGTGAGGGGCAGGCGGAGCGCGAGCGGCGGACACGGGCGGGCGGGCGGACGAACCCGCGGGGCCGAAGCGCCGCCCGACGCGCGGGCCGCTGCGAGGCGCCGGCCGCGGGCTGAGAGCACCCGCCCCGCAGGGCGCACCACGCCCACCGCGCCTCTCCCGCCCGGAGCGCACCGCGCCGCACCGCCCGCCGGGAAGCGCGATCCTCGCGGGCCGCCGCTCCGACCAACCCCCCGCGCGGAGGAGCGGGGGCTGCCGGGAGCTGTAGTGCCGCGCGGCGGCCATCCCGAGGGAGGCTCCGTCTCCGCTGGATGGCGCCAGTTCCGGCCCGCCGTGCGGGGCTGCGGGCTTCGGCCCGGCCTGGAGCGCGGCGGTGCCCGCAGAGCGCGGAGCCGTCGCCTTGCCATGCGTAAGTACCGCCGGGTGTAAGCACCGCGTGGTGCTGGGGGACGGGCCCGGGCCGGGCGGTGCGGTCAGGCGGCTGTTACGGGTGAGAGCGGTCGGTACCGGGGCTGTACGTGCGCCTTTACGCGTGGCCTCCCCTTGTCCGTACCCGCAGCCCGAGTGCTTTTAGGAGCGGAGGAGCTGCGCGGTTTGCTCGGGGACGGGAGCCGCTGCAGCCGGCGGGGACGTGGCGGCCGCTGCGGGACGGGGCTCGGCCGCCAGGCCCGGGAGGAGAGAGCCGCCCCGGGGCCGCCAGGCGCAGCGCCAGCCTCGTGTTGTGGGGCGGCGGGGCGAGCTGCTCGGATACGCGGCGTGCCCGGGGCAGGCGGCACAGCACGCGGCGCGCCGAGCTGCGGAGGTGCTGTGGTCGGCGAGACGCCTGCAACCCTTCTGGTGATGGCTTTTTGCTAGCGCGTCCGGCTGCTCTGCCTGGGCGCGTCTCTCCTCGTTCAGGAACGAAGCCCCGTCGTTGGGCTGCGTGTGTGTGCTTGTGGGATGGCATAGGGATGTCTTAAAGCAGAAGTCACTTTTAAATCAGTACGTAGAGCTCCAGCTGGCTTCAGTAAGTGTCACGCACGCCTGTGGAAGTTTAACGCTTGCTTTTCAGGTGTTTTTTTTTTTAATTATTATTCTGTTTAACAAGTAAATTATCAGTCTCAGTATAGGTTTGCGTGGCCTGGGTGCCCAGACCTTCTGTAGCCCATCCACAGCCTTTTAAATCAGTATCTTTCTAAAGGAGTGACCAGTGAGCCGAGGGAACAGCATGGGACTGTGCTGAGGGAGGGGCAGGTGGGGGTTAGGGACAGGTTTTGCACCAGACAGCAGTGGGCATGGAACAGGCTGCCTGGGGCTGTGGTCACGGCCCCGAGCTGGGGGAGTTCAGGGAGTGTTTGGACAGTGCTCACGTGCATTGGGTTTGAATTTTTGGGTGGTCCTGTGTGGAGCCAGGAGCTGGACTTCATGGTCATTGTGTGTCCCTTGCAGTCTGGAGTATTCTGTGAGGCTGTGATTCCCATGTGCATTTCACCACAGGGATTCACAAGGCAGTCACTGCCCAAGTCTCTGGGATTTGAACTCTGTGCTTTGCTTTAAATTGAAAGAAAGGCATGTGAACCGAAGCAGACACGCACAGAGCTATTGCAGTGGTTGGGTGTGGGATCAGTCACTCGAGGTCTATGCATTAGTTCTCCACATGGCCTTTTGTGCCCGCACAGTGCCAGGCATGGGGCAGTGGGCACACAGCCATGCCGTGCCATGCATGCATGGTGTCAGCACCATATGCCCTCCGTGTTGGTCACTGAATTTCACCACGGGGATGGCGGAGAGCCAAGCCAGCTGGGGGCTGTGTTGTGGTGGCCACACATCACCAGACCACCTGCAGCCCCCGCACTGCTCCCCCCGTTTGAAGCCCTCATCCTTACGGGGCTCTGTGCCTGGGGCTACCACCCGCCCTCTGTCTGCCCTTCCTGCATGGGCTGTGGGGGACATGGCACCAACCTAGTGTGGCCCTTGGGTGTGCCCCACGTTTGGGTTTTCTGAGTGAGGAGAAATGGTGGTGGGGTGTGAGTAGTACCATGAGGGGAGCAGGCTGGGGGTGGTGTGTCGAGGTGCTGCACTGGGCGGCCTGGGAGATGGTGGGGTCACTGTCCCTGGAGGTGTTCAAGAACTGTGTGGATGTGGCACTGAGGGACATGGTTAGTGGGCATGGTGGGGATGGGCTGGAGGTTAGACTAGTGGTCTTATGGGTCTTATCCAACCTTAATGATTCCATGCTTACCCCTAATGCACCAGTGGTGTTTCAGTCCATCTGTTGTTTTGGTCATGTTTGGCAGCAGAGCTGGAGTATCTAAGTGAGCTTCTTACAGGCTCAATGAAAGTCAGTGGCTGTGAAAGGCAGAGGCTTAAAGGAGTATCCCCAGTGTGGAGAAGGGCTGGGAACCAGGGCTGCTGATGCTGGAGTAACCAGAGCTGTTCATGTGGATGCTGAGTGAACGTGGCCTGAACGCGCGTTTATGCTATGCTGGTGTTGTCAGCAGTTTTCTGGGCCACTTTGGCACTTTTGTGCTTGTTTGTTCCTGTATTAGTGGGACTGATAGGCTTAGATAACTGAAAACAAAGAATCTTAGCAACATCCTGCAAATACGAAAGTTGTGGCTCTGCACTGATACTGGATACAGAGTATGGGGGGACCCACAGACCCATATCCCAGGAAGGGGGGAAGGGGGCGGGGAGATGGGCCTAAAAACAAAACAGAGGCAGTAAACTAAGGGAAAAAACTAATTTGCTAAGTATAATAGCGGAATGCAAGATAACACAATATAATGCAATATAACTGGAATTGAAGCTAATAAATCAAATAAAATGAGAGAGAGAGTGTCCAAAACCGAAGGCCTTACTCTAATGTTGAAGGCAATACAGCCTTCAACAATACAGGGTTCACACATGCGGAGACAAGTAGTAAAAGAGTGGGACAGTCTCCTGACTCAGGAGCAGTTTTATCTTTCCCTCTAAACAAAAAACAGAACAAAACAGAAAAGCAAAGTCTTCTGGGAGGTGTAGTTCTTCTCTTCTGAGAACCAGGTACCCAGAAATATCAACAGTGCACAGAACTGTAGCATTAACTCTGTAACTCCCAGTGCAATTCATGATGCTATGATATGGAATACCAGTAACAGAAATCATAAAACCATGGCAGGTGTGCAACCTGAAAACTAGCCAAAAAGAAACTGGTGTTCTAAAGAGCTATCATGACAGACTCTGTGCTCCTTGGTACAGTACAAAATGTGGGACTGGGTCTCCATCTAAATCTGCTCAGTCGTGGTTCCCCAAGGCAGTGTGTGGAGAGAAGCTGCTCCTGCTGCAGGGCAGCTCCTTCCACCTGCTCTGCACACTCCTCAGTGTCAAAGGCAGGAACACAGAATCATGGAATTATTAAGGTTGGAAAAGACCTCTAAGATCATGTAATCCAACCATCAACCTGTCACCACTCTGCTCACTGAACTAAGTCCCTCAGTGCCTCATTTACCTTTCCCTTGGAAACCTTCATCAGGCTTCGTTGCCATTCTTGAAGATGCTCTAGGTTGAAGCAGATTGCTTTTCTCATACATGACGTGTAAAATTGGCCAAAGGTGTGTTGTCATTGTATTTCTTAATTTGTGCTTGTTTGTTCCTGTTTTAGTGGGACTGATAGGCTTAGATAACTGAAAACAAAGTATCTTAGCAATATCCTGCAAATACAGAGTTGTGGCTCTGCACTAATACTGGTTACAGAGTTCAAATAATGTAATCCTTTTACAGTAGTCTTTTGGCTTTGTGAAATAAGGCAAGCTTTTGGAATGCAGGCTTCAAAAGGCGGAAGTCACATGGCAGGAATTTTGCTATCTTCTGAGAGCTGGAGAAAAAAGAAAGCAGGACCAGACTTGATGATAGCAGAATCACAGAATGGCCAGGGTTGGAAAGGACCTCACGGATCGTGAATCTCCAACCCCCCTGCCACATGCAGGGCTACCAACCTCCTCATTTAATGCTAAACCAGGTTGCCCAGGGCCCCATCCAGCCTGGCCTTGAACACCTCCAGGGACGGGGCATCCACAACCTCCCTGGGCAGCTGTTCCAGCACCTTCCCACTCTCTCTGTATAAAGACTTCTGTAGCAAAATAATTCTGTTTTATTCCAAATAATCAACATAGATTGCACTTGTTCTAAAGTAATGTAAAGTTTAGGAAATGTTTGTAGCAGTTAGATTAAATAAGAGAATACAGACTATCTTTCGTTATGGATGATGTGTCCACTGCTAGAGACAGATCCATTCTTAGGAGTGCTGTACTGAAATGCATTTGGCATTATCTGATGCGAGTGTAATGTTTTATAACATAAGCTGTGAGGCTTCATCTTCTGTTTTCATTACTAGTATGTGCCCTCAGGGCTGCTTACAAGCTTTCCATAAGGGGCCTTTAGCTTTAGTGAGCGAGTGGATTTGGGGAACAGTTACACCCAGACAAAAGCTGTCTGCTTCTGGTGGGGAACCGAGGCAGGTATTTGATTATAGATAGCTTCCAAGGGCTGTTTCTTTGAGGAGAGAATGGGGTCTGCAAGTGAGCAATCTTGGAAGAGTACAGAAATCAAGTGGATTATGTTCTGTGCTTTCAGACCAAAGGCTAAGTCTTGAAAACATGATTCCTGCAACTGTTGACACTGTCCTGAGTGCTCTGTATTTATGCTGCCACAGAAAGAACTGGTTACAGTCGGAGAAGAAACGCTAAGGACTCAAATGCGCTTGCAGCTAAAGTATCCTCATCATGAATAGGTACACAACTATCAGACAGCTTGGTGATGGGACCTATGGCTCTGTCCTCCTAGGGAGAAGCATTGAATCTGGGGAGCTAATAGCCATTAAAAAGTAAGTATTTTCCTTTGTTACCTAATGCTGGATGGTCCCAGTTTTTCTGTGATCTGCATCACCTGGTCGTGCACTGGCTCGAGCTCTCCAGATGCTATATGACACGTGTGCTTGCAGCTGAGCTCCATATGCTTCCTCAAAACAATTCCTTATATCCTCCCCAGCTCCAGCAGAAAATAAAAGGCTGAAATACATAGATATATTATAATAATGCTCAGCTACTATGTGCTGTCAGATGCATGTGTATTATTTAGACTGTTCTGCATTGCTGCTTTGGGAATCTGCACTCTCTTCCCTGCTGCATACATGGGACATACATTTCATGGCTTAATTCCCAGTATCTTGTTAATACTGCAGCAGTAAAGAAAATGAGATGTAATATGTCAATTAACTTTTTATTCTTAACAGTCTTGGAGAAATCTGCTTGATTTTTCTCATTTTTTTCTCTGCTGCTTTGGTTATGACCTCAGTTTGTAAAAGACTTATTTGTCCTGGTTGTGGTAAGAGGCATTGTGCTGCAGTCACTTTCCTGAAATACCAGCCTTGACCCAGGGATGTACTTGTCAAAAGAGCTTTCAGTACAATGTTGTTTTGTATGAATAGTCAATGGTTGGCTTCAGCAAATTCTCAGTGCTGAGAATGTTTTACCTGCACCAAACCTTGCCAGAAACACTTTTGATTTTCATTTTGCTGCATGGTAGAAACTCAAATATTTCAGAACATACCAGAAAACAGTAGTTTGTTCTCTTACATTTGAATACCAACCCATTACTAAGAGCAGAATTGTGAACTGGTGTGTGGCAGGACAAGATGTTAATTGCAAGAACACTGCTTACACAAACCAAAATGTAAAGTTCTTCAAGAAATGAAGACCATGTCAGTATATTTAAAATATCCTGAGAACTGATTTCAAACTGGAAAATCACTGCAATAATAAGAAGTATTCTTATTATAACAATTTTTATTGAATTCTTATTGAATTCTTCTGTCCCTCTGAAATCCAGATTCAAGGCAGTTATGTTGCTAAGTATAATCTATGCTTCTGAAAGTATTGTTACATGAAAGAGCTGATTCACGATCAAAATGTTTGAACACGTAAGACCATACTTTACACATTAATACTTTGCACAGCTGTATTCTGGATTAGGATAGAAAAGATCTGTTTGAGGTTTGTTCCTGTTGAAGCAAAGTTGCTTGTGAGCTTGAAAGGAAAGGCAAAATTGGAAAAGCAGTTGGCATGGCAGAGGAAACCAGCAGTGGACACTGAAAAATAAGGAAATAAGGGGAAATTATATGTATAAAAATTACAAAGAAATCAAAATATAGAGGAGAAGAACAAATAGAATATGATGAAATCGGAAAGCCCATGCCATGATCTAACTTGATTTTCAGTAGATTTGTCTCAAAACTTAGTCTGACTCAATCATGACTTGTTACCCTTGTTCTTTTTACCATTATATTCTTCTCCACCAGATTGTATACTGGAAAGAAAAATGATATATTCCAACTTGCTGAAGGCTCTCACATCTCTGCAAAAGGATACATATGCAAAATAGGGCATCCCATATGATACTATCGCTTTAAAATTCTACTAGAATGTACTTTGTCTAAAAATCCAAAATTTTTTTTGACAAAGGAGATGACACCTTATATTTGGATGGTGGATTTGAATTCCTGAGCTGTAATGAGACTTCTAGATCTAAGACTTTAGCTGATGTCGACCACATATTAATTGTTTTTCCCTCTACTGTTCTAGAATGAAGAGAAAGTTTTATTCCTGGGAGGAATGCATGAATCTTCGTGAAGTTAAGGTACTTGCTTCATTCAATGACTGACTTATATTAAAAGATCCCTGACACATTTTTTGGTAACAACAAATTATTTCTTCCTCTTTCAGCAAAAAGCCTCCCACAAAATTGCTGTGGAAGTTGTTGCTACAGTTCTGTTTCTTGCCTCTTTGCGTTTGAGTGGGGTGACAGTAATGTTATGAAAGTACTGCAGTTTTAAGAAAAAGTGCATAACATTGTGCAGAGTTGCTTCCAGTGAGAGTTGTAAGTGTGTGAGATAGCTTTCTTATCATAAAACCTGGAGTTGGTGGTGTGTTTTGTGGAGCTAGACAACACCTGGTCTTCACTCAGCTGTAACCTTTGTATATGCAGCTGCTTTTGTCTGGGTAATTGGTTTGGAGATAGTCATGTAGTGTGAAATTCTGATGCTAGCAAAGCAGTAAGGGTATGTTTTTAAGGTCTCCTTTAATTTCTAGGCTTTGCAAACATACCTTGGTCACTCTTCCGGTATGATGCATTTTCTTCTAGTACAACTGTGTTGCTACTGCAAGAATGAATGTCCAACAAAAAATCTAGAAAGAAGAGAGAATGAAGAACCAACAATGATTTCCAGGGTTATACTTAGTCCTGAGTCTAACTTGACTGTCATCAGTGCAAGTGATGCAAATTCTGCCAGTGGGAAGCTACATATAGAGAAAATACCATTGTTTCGGTACCTACTGTGCTGCCAAACAGCTGGCTTATGGATGACCAGCTGTGCATTATACTGATGTGTGTATACACTTCAGGTAACAATATTTGAAAACTTGGTCTTTGGTCTCATAGCTGTCTGATTTAAATGTTAAAGTTTTGAAGCTAAGTCTCTTGCATCAGTGAAATTATCTTCTTGTTTCTGTTTGAGTAAGACCCTTGTAAAATCCTGTTTGTGTTTTCTGCTTCCAGTCTTTGAAGAAACTAAACCATGCCAATGTAGTAAAGCTGAAAGAAGTTATCAGGGAAAATGATCATCTCTATTTTGTGTTTGAGTACATGAAGGAAAATCTTTATCAGTTAATGAAAGAAAGGTATGTAAAAACATCACCTGTTCTTAATTACTTGTGTGATGTGCTCATTCAGCTTACTTTTAATGCCTCTGCTGTTTTTCAGAGGAGTTTGGATCTTTTGCTTATGCTTAGTTCGCTATGACTCAAGTCTTTGTGATACAGCAGGAGCTATGTCTTTCCCCTTTGAGCATATCTCAGGCAGTTTAAGGAGAGCTTCCCGTGTCTCTTCTCAGATTAGCCTGATAGATAAATTGGATACTCTTTTGAAAATTAGAAGCTGAAGACTTTTAATGTCCCTCAGACTGAAGAGGCATTGAACTTCTGATTTTTAGATAAGTACTCTAGCTGGCAATGCTTTTGTATTAGAGACAGGTACTTCCTACCCTTCTGATTTGGTTTTCTCAAATAAATGAATAATAAGTGATTGAAATAGTAACTGTGAAAGGTCTAATTGTGGATTGCTTCTAGGAATTCTTCTTTCTTTCTTTCTTCCTTTCTTTCTTTCCTCTTTCTTTTTTTTTTTTTTTTTTTGCCCTGCAATTTTGTCTGACATATTCAGGAGATTCACTATTTTGTCTGTCAGTTTTCTCAGAAAAATCTTCTACATCTTTGGTAAAGTCTTAATTTTACCCTTTAGACCATAATAGAATCCTCCAGAGGACAGTCTGGGGGTAAAATAACTTTCTGCTTTGAATCATTCTGAAGAAGCCATTTTTGTTCTGTGGACTTAAGAATAAGCCAGCAAGAGAGCTTATTATCATTATACTATATCTCTGTGAATATTTCATGAATACTTAATAAAATACCTTTTTAAAGGTAGAAATACTTACTGTGCATGCACAGGTATGGAACAGCTTTCACTAAATTGTGCACATAGATATAGGTGCTGGTCTTTAATTACATGAAATAACAAAGCTTGAGAAAATAATTCTAGTGCTTAAGATACAGACCAGTGATTTCTAGGCATTATCACAGAAATTCATAGAAATGCTGAATATAGACTACCTCCTTTATGAAAACCAAAAAGACAGATGTCTGTGAAAGTATGCAGCACACCACGTTCTTTTTGGTTTAGTTAGCTCTCAGACTGGTTAGATATCTCATTCGTAAAGATTCTGATTCTTCTGATTGAAGATTTATTTTCTTAAATCTTTGAGTTACTATTTCTGTGTAAAGGGACTGTAGAGGATTTTTCTTTCTGTTGTAATTTGAAAAAATAAGAAAGCCTGAAAAGTTGGCTGTAGGAGCAGATCTCACTTCCCAAGTATGTGATGATCCTTCTTTAGAGGAAGGAAGCTCAGGAAATTCAGTAAGGCCCAGACCATCTTCTTTCACTCTTATGGCCAATTTTTTTCCCCTTCCCTTCCTCCCAAACCATCTGTACAATGTTTCCTGATGTGCAGAGGCAGCTGATACAGAGCTGCTTAATCTTAATTTTCTGTTGGTGAAAGGGTCCATCATTAAACTGTCTGCTATGGCTGATCTAGGCTAAATATCGTGAGAAGAGCCTCTTGTTTTCACTGGTAGCAGATTGTGAACATGCTATGCAAGTTTTCATGGAGCAGTAAACTACCATAGAGTGCTTAGAGTGTACCTAGGAGTTTTACTGTTATTATTACCTTTTCTCTTTGAAGCATAAGTTAATATGTAAACTTAATAATTAACATTTATTTCCTCTTTTTTTTCTTTTTGTCCTATAGAAACAAATTGTTTCCTGAGGCTACAGTTAGGAATATTATGTATCAGATCCTGCAAGGGCTTGCATTTATCCATAAACATGGTAAGCTATATTTTAGCTGTAAATACTTTGAGTTAGAATGAGATTACCTCTGTGTAAGGTGTTTGTTTGTTTCAGTGACTACAAATACATTACTAACTTTCATTAAAGGGAGTGATCAGAAGAGTGCTCTCTTACTGCTCTCTTCAAATACCTGAGAAGTGCTTACAGCAAGAATGGGGTAGGTCTCTTTTCACTGGTGACAGGTGACAGGATGAGGGGAAATGGCCTCAAATAGTGCCAGGGAGGCTTAGGTTGGATATCAGGAAAAACTTCTTTGTTTGTTTCTGGTTGTTAAGCACTGGAATAGGCTCCCAGGGCGGTGGTTGAGTCACCATCCCTGGATGTGTTTAAAAACCGTTTGGATGTGGTGCTCAGGGCCATGATTTAGCAGAGGGTTGTTAGAGTTAGGGTAGTATGGTTAGGTTGTGGTTGGACTTGATGATCTTTGACATCTTTTCCAATCTATGATTCTGTGAAAGGCACTAAAATAGAAATTTGTGTTACAGAAAATGGAGGGCAGGTATCCATATTTTACAGCTGCCTGATGTTGCATTTAGGAGGTTTGCTTAGTTTCTTTTCTATAGATTTCCACATTCTGTAGTGGGCAGCTAGCAGCCTTCTAGAACTTGTCTGATGTTAATGGCCGTAGTCCTCATAGATTTAGAGGTCACCTGAGATTGAGAATAAAGGATATCTTACTGTTTATTATTTGCTGAATGCAGAGAGCTCTATAAAAAGAAAAAAATATACTGATATCTGTTGCCTGATAGGTTGATGAGTATCAGTGCTTGCAGACTATTAAGAAGTTCTCAGATGGGGAAAAAAAAAGGCTTCAAAGTACAAAAATCAACTCCAATTTCTATTGTTTAAAAAAGCTTTGAAGTAAAAAGTTTTAATCACTTCCTTGCACACTTTCCATCATAATTAGAATAAAGCTAACATTAAAATAGTATTTGTTATTTTTTTAAAGGAAGAGTCACCTGAAAGGGAATTACCTGACTGAATGCTCAGAATTCTTATAGAATAGTTGATTAGTTCTTCATAAACTGTTGAACAGTCATTATACTAACTGGCTTTCTTGGGCATTGAAGACGTTCAGCTCTGTGTGGTGCTATTCAAACTTCAGCAGTAAGAATTGAAACGGTGCGGGTGGAAAATAAAGGTGAGAGCTGGGTGTGGCATTGCAATGCACGTCAATATTTCATTTGAATTTTAGGATTCTTTCACAGAGACTTAAAACCCGAAAACCTCCTTTGCATGGGACCAGAACTTGTGAAAATAGCAGACTTTGGCTTAGCCCGAGAAATCCGATCTAGACCTCCTTACACCGATTATGTATCCACAAGGTGGTAAGTGCAAGTATTTCTTGATGTTGTGGGAATCTGCAGGTCTTAAAACGAAGCTCGTAAATAAGCAGTGTAACATTTCTGCAGAATGTAATACCGCTCTTGATTCATCCTCTTGGTGAAACTTTTTTTTAAGCTGAGCATAATTCAAAAAGCTTCAGGTGGTGCAAGGAGGTTTGCAGATAGCACCAGAAAAGGAACTGAGGGGGATCTGATGACACAGGTGGGATGTGGTAGGAATGCTGCATGTCAGGAAGACATAAGAGAACTTAATGGGCTTATATAGTTTTTTTTTATTCTTTTTTCTAGGAAAAAAAAAGGAATATAGGAACTTTTTAAGTCATGTTTGCTGTTAACTGGAAAGAACAAAAAGCTGAATGGTTTTGTATACGACTGCTCTTGAATTATGCTGATGGTTGTGATTTGTTTCTCTCTTTTCCTCTCTCAGGTACAGGGCTCCTGAAGTCCTTCTGAGATCCACCAGCTATAGCTCCCCAATAGATATTTGGGCTGTTGGTTGTATAATGGCAGAGGTTTACACACTGAGGCCTCTCTTCCCAGGCGCCAGTGAAATTGATACAATATTTAAAATTTGCCAAGTTTTGGGGACACCAAAGAAGGTAGGTACAGTAACATTCCACTCTGCAATACTGATCTACGATACATAATAATTTTACTTGACTTTACACTTACTGCATAAGTATGATGTAGTTTTACTGTAAAAACTGATGTATAGAGGAGAAGTAGACTCCTGAATAGCAAACAAAGTCATTAGACTGTGGTTCATCTTGACATTGAAATTTCATTGTTGCTTGCATTTCAAGCTATGCTTTAAGAGAATAAAAAAATCATAGTGAACTCCTATTTCCTGTTCACATTTGTGCCTTTGACATGGTCAAACATAAAGTCCTTACTTCCCACTAGAGCTTTGAGGTGAAAATGTTTAGTGAAACCTTCAAAATGTTTTAGCTGGCCACAGAATGGCTGGTTGCAGCCTGTAACTGATTGGAGAATATATGCTAGTGCTTTTAGGCGCTATGATATTTTACACTTGAATTGTCTTTGTTTTTGGAAATTTCATTCTCCCAGAATGACTGGCCTGAAGGCTACCAGCTTTCATCCTCCATGAATTTTCGCTGGCCTCAGTGTGTACCTAACAACTTAAAAACCCTCATACCTAATGCTAGCAGTGAGGCAGTGCAACTGATGAGAGACATGCTGCAGTGGGACCCCAAAAAGCGGCCAACAGCTAGCCAGGTTTGATTTTTTCTTTCTCATTTCTGCATATGACTCTTCTTTCCATTGCAAGTCACTATGTAAAGGCAGATACTTAGCAGTTGCTCAAGAATGCAGTTCTTGGAAGAGAAAAGAGCAGAAGCCAAGAACAGTTTCCAAGACAAAAAGGAGTAATTAAAAGGAAGTTATTAATCTGTTGCATGCAGCACCAGCTGCATGAGGTGTGTCCTCGATGATCAAATGTGTGAGTGCTATGTATGTACACCTAAATGAAGTATAACCCAGCCACAGTGAATTATAGAGTGAAGGCTGGATGTGTGGCTGAAGGCTGTGATGCTGTACTTTCATTGCTGTTGATAGGTGTCGCAGAATCACAGAGTGGCTGAGGTTGGCAGGGGCCTCTTGATCTGTCTGCTCCAACCTTCCTGCTCAGCAGGGCCACCCAGAGCAGGTTGCATATACCATGTTCATACAGCTTTTGGTTGTCTCCAAGGATGGAGACTCCTCCATAACTTCTCTGTACCAGTGCTCAGTCACTCTCACAGTAAAGTATTTCCTGGTGCTCAAATAGGAGCACCTGCTGTTTTCTACTCCTGAAAAAGGGAAATAAAATTTATGCTGTCGCATAGAGCAAAGGTAAGTTAGAAACTATGGATTCCTAAATTGGCTCCTAACATCTTCATTATGTTTTAGGCACTTCGATATCCATACTTCCAGGTTGGACATGCTCTAGGCCTTCAGGAGCTGACGAGACCAAAGGAACTCCATGATAAATCATCTCTGCATATTAAACCTGTCCCTCCAGCACAACCTCCTTCAAAATCCCACGCCCGCATTTCTTCACGGCCGTTTCAGCAAAGCCAGACTTCTCAACATTTGGTCTATCCATGTAAGACAGACAATTCTGGGGCTGATCACAGTAAATATTTACAGGAGGACAAGTCGAACCAGGTTCTTCTGCCTGCAATTCACAATAAGGTTCCTCAGCAGGTAAAGGTTCATCTAGCGTATAGATTTTCCTTAATGATGTTTGGTTTTTTTCTTGTTCTCTTGCATAAGTGCAAAAAGTATAGGAAATGGGGAAAAAACAGCAGCAGTAACTTCCTGTCATAAACTGGAGGTTAGTATGTTGAAATCATAATCTAATTCTGATTGCTGCAAAACAAGCAAGTTGATTTCTCATTTCAAAGCATTTTATGTTCCCCTTTGTGGAGTAGGGTATTTGAAGGATGATTTTTACATGGCTGAAACGATCTACAGGAGTCAGAATATTAATGGCTTTGATTCCATAGAAAAAAGTATTGAACTGAATGTTATTGAATTGAGATGGTGAGCTGTTACCTTAGCCCATTTAAGTCTTCCAGATTACATGACCAGGACAGCTAGTCTGTTCGAGCTTCTGTACTGGCCATGGAAGACAACTGGTTCTTCTTTCAGAATAAGAACCTGCCATTTCTTGTGATTAAAGAAGACTGGTTAGGTGACTGAAGAAGGGTAAATGCCTCTTGCAAGCAGTTGGTCTTTAAGGCTGTCTGTACTGGCTATGTACTGATTTGCACAAAGTTCAATTGTACAAATGCAGTTAAGTGGCTGATGAGACACAGTTTTTTATCTGCACAGTGCCACAAGTGAAATATATTTTATAACTTTGTAGGTTCGGGCTTGTGAAAACATGAATGTAATTGTGGTTTGGTACTCCCAAAATGGATCAAGAAATAAAAATCAAGAGTGAGCTAGTTCTTCTGAAGCTGTATAGCAAAAGATAAGTAGAATTGGAAATGAGACCTAAGAAATTTATTCTTCTGTCAGTGTAAAATATTATAGTGTAGGATAAAATGGAGAAGATAAGTAGTAACGTCTACAGGCTACAGATTGTGTTCTTAGCAAGCTTAATGAAGGCCAGATTTTGGCTACAGCTCTGCTACCAATTCTGTCCTTTAAGACAGGAAAAAAGATGTTTTGGTCTTATCACCTGGTTCATGTTGTAAGTGTGTGCAGTCTTGTTTTGTCTTGTTTTCCAATCACTGTAATAGAAAGCATCTACTGGGACTGAGAACATAAATAGTGAACTTAAACCAAAAGCTAGGCGAAGGTGGGGACATCTTGCTAGGCCAGTGAAGAATGCTGAAGAGTGGGATGACTTGGAAGACCTTGATTTCAGCTCTTCTGTCACGAGGATTGACTTGAAAAACAAAAAAAGGCAGAATGATGAAACTACTTGTAGGTAAGTTGGGTTTTGTTGTATTTGAACTTATTTCCTTACATTTCACATCATTTTTCATTCTTCTTTTTTTTCCCCAGTAATGTTGCTCTTTATGCTTTCTATGGATCTAGAAACATATATCCATGCCAGTCAAGGATATGCAGTTTTCCTGTCTGTTACTTTGTTATGGCTTCTTGTTGAATGCTGACCTTTCAATTATAACCACTTCTTTCATGGACAGTGCATGTCTCTAAGCAATTCCTTGCTCATTTTTCCCTGCTGAAAATAATGCCTAATGTAAATATTTCCAGGTTGATCTTTTAATACATTCTTTCTGTTTGCCATGCAAACCATTTCAATGTATTTCACACACATTTTGCATTACTCTAAGCTGTATTTTCCGTGGATTAGAAGCAGAAGAGAAAAACTAATTAAATGAGATATAAAAATGGATGAAGCCATTTATAAGGGAGCTACAAGTGCAGGTCAGATTTTCAGGAGCACTCATATGGCTTCAGGCTGAAAACATTCCCTGTTGTCGGTGTGTTTATGCTGTAGCAAGCACAGTGAGGGAATGATTCCTGGAGATGAGATGGAAGAGAGAAAGCCAACTGTGGATAAACATATGCTATAAGTTTTGGACTAAGCGTAGCAATTTTTGGGTTATAGATTTGAAAGCATTTTGGACCTGAAGCCTTTGGATGCAGTTGGCTCTGGCAGCAGTGCACCATCCCATGCTATCTTCCCACGGCAGGACACCCCAACACTGCAAGTTTCTGCAGCAAAGCAGCACTACCTGAGACATTCTAGGTATCTACCCGGTTAGTAAAAAAAATACTCATTTCTTTTTCCTCCTGTGATTCCAACAGCAGTATGAAATAGTCACGAATACATTATTCTTTATCCTTTGAGTTTGTGGAGTTGGGGATGTGCTTAAAGAAAGGAGAGGAGGAGCTTTCTTGCTTACGCAGGTGGCTATAATGCAAACTGCATTCTAGCAGTCTAGCAACTGAGATGAATCCTGTTTATGTGAAGGGGATGTTGGTATTTTTTCCTCCTGCCAGATGCTCTTTTATATTTCAAAGTGTATTAGAAAATGTCTAATAATGTGCCAGGCTATTCCCTGTTTCCCTAATAAGAATAAGGTTGGTCTTTTAGACTGGAAAAAATAGTGCCCTGAACTTGCCTCATGGGTATGTAATACCATGAACAAGGGAAACTAGCTGATAATGGGAATATGCTTTGCCATAGCTTGGATTTTATAGAATCCAAATCCTGCATTCCAGTAGAGCAGCCTCCGGTTATACTGAGACTAGTGCTGAAATAGGGTAAAATACAGGACTGGGGATTGTGACTGCCTGTAATTAAAATGAACTGAATATAAATATGTCCCGTTTCATAATTTCTGTTTACAAAGGCAGTATCAGCTGTTCCTTAACTTATAGAATGAATACTCCAAAGTTGATGAAGGAGAAGAGCCTGTGATGTAAGACTTGGTCTTTTTTCCTGGAAAAACAAACAAAAAAAAAGATAGTGTGTGACTTCACAATTCACTTTCAAATTGTCTCATTTAAATAGAGTTTGGTAGCTAAAAGTTCTGTTATCAAAGGAGGTAATAAAATCCATTAATCCCAAGCCTGCTTTAGCTTTGCTGTAAACCGTGGGCATATCCTTGCATGTTGGATACCCTGCTTACACCTTACAGTCTGTGTATTGAACACAAATAACACGTGATGTATGAATTCTACTGCAAACTGTTTGCAAACGCAGTGGTTTCAGTAGATACATCAGAGAAGAGCACCATACTTTGAGAGACATTACCTACCTTTATTTAGACCCAAGGTATCTTGTCAGGCTGTATAATGTTGTGTTTGGTGTGAAGCACAGAATTTGTGGCCTTGATGGTAAGGACCCTGCATTGGCATAGACAGCCATTGACACTAGTGGGACTTTTTACACAAGTATAATTTCAGGAGGTGGGCTTGTGGCCTCTCATAAAGTATGAGAGGATGGGAAGTAACCCAGAGGCATGGTAGGGTGAAAAGGTTTTGGCTGAGTTCACTGAACTTAATAGTTATTTCACAGTTGTGTATCAGATGGAATGTGTGCAAGTCTGTGTAATATGAGATTTTCAGCATGGTAATTGTTACTTTTTTTGTAATAGGAGTAAACACAAGAAATAGCATGGTCTCCACTTCAAGCAAGGAGTCTGTTCCGTGTAATCCCTGGCCCAGTTCTGGTTTGCCTGGGAAAGCTTCAGTTTTGGGAGGAAGTATTAACAGGATAAATTCAGGTATGATGGTCCCACAATTCCACATAGCTGTTTTGGGGTCACCCATTTCTAGTACATTGCCATCTCCAAAGATACATGCTACTGTGCCTATTCCTTTTATTAAGCCTGGTAAATGAGCTGAATGGCTAAATGTAAATGGCTAAACTACATGAGAACCTTATTATATATATGTATATATATAGCCAGGCTCCTTCCTGGCTCCTCTACCGCTTTTTGACTTTTTTTTTTTTGCTAGCTTCATAGGATGTCATTAGGTTTTCCCCTTCTCATTACCATCATTTCCCACAATATGTTTTGCCACTGCTTTGCTGCTCTATTGTGTTACAGGAATGTGTGTTGTGGATCTGTCCATGCTGACTACTTTAGCATACAGCTGTAGTATAACTCTAGATTATTTTATTTATAACTGTTTTCTTCCAAAAGGAACAAAGCTTATCCAAAAGGTCAGGCAAGTCTGTTTTCTCTTATATTAGGGACAAGTTTGGTGATGAGTTTCCAAATTTGGTACATGAGTCTATCCCAGTTTATAGGGATAAACATAGGCATATAAAGGATCTGCAGACTTTCAGTGTCTTTGGCAAAGTTTTTGTTTCCATCAGTCCCTGTTCAGCTTTCATCTCAAATATGGCCCATCACTTCACACCTATGTTACCTGTGCAGATGTATTGCATTGGTTCCTTGCTTTTTCTTTCAGGTCCTATAGGATCAAGTGGTCTACCTGGTGGTTATATCCCTTCATTTCTGAAGAAGGAAGTAGGCTCTGCTGGGCAGAGGGTTCAGTTAGCACCAATTGCAGATCCATCTTCAAGTAAGTGTGGTACCACCATCCTCTTAGTCCCTTGCTCATTGCTTTGGTTATTCTGTATATGCAGCATTATGTTATAGATTGGTGCTTTCCTTTGTAATTATTTGAGTGACTGGAACTACTACTCGTAGCCTAGCAGAACTTCATATAGAGAAGGGTTATTTTTATTTAGTTTATGAATTATGTGTTTTAACCACAGCTGTTAACCAGTAAGCACATTGCAGTGGAACCTAGAGTCTGATGTGAGAGCTGGCACAGAATTCACACTTACCAATCCAAGGTTTAGGTGCTCCTTGTATAATAGGGTTTTAAGGTTTGGGTCACACATGTTGTTTCACATCAGCAAATCCTCGATTAACCTTAACCTCTTGGAGTTTTCTTTCTCCCTTAGATTATGCTGCTCTGAAGTCAGCAAGACCCCATCTTGGACGCCCCCCATTCAATTCACCTTCCAAAAGCACCCCTGGGGTAATGCCGCTCCCACCCCCAGCTCAGCCAGTCCACGGCCGCGTTGACTGGTCTGCAAAGTACGGAGCTCACCGGTGACTCGTGGAAATGCTCTCCCAACAGCACCAATTTCCCACATGGTGACTGACACATGACAGTTTTCTACTGTTTTATAGACTTGTAAATTTAAAAGAAACAAATCTTCTACGGTTGAGACCTTCCTGAAGGTTACTTTAGGTTTGTTTTTTAACTTTTATTTGTATTAATTTCAATGCAATCTTGTACTTTTTTTTTTGTATGAAATTTTGTTATATAATTGGGTCCAATTATTTTCATAAATCTGATACCTTTTGTATATATGGCTTAGGGATCTTGGCATTTTTATATGATAAATTTTTATAACAAACTTTTTTAAATTGTAACTTTTCCTTTATTGGATTCAACATTTTTATAAAAATGAGTTTAACAAAAAATAAAGCAAAGTGGTGCAATATTGTGTTGGAAGAGAAGAGCGAGGAAGGGGCATTCATTAGATGTTTTCTAAAGCTTATGTGCTAAGTGAGATTGTTTAATTTCAGTGATGCCATGTCTTGATGCCACACTGCTGCTGCTGTGTACTCGTCTGCTTTGTATATCAAAGGAATGAGTGAGCAGCAGTCTAACCTCTCCTTTACAGTGGCTCCTTTACAGCCACTGAGAGACTGCTGGAAGTCCCAAGTCAGTGGGAAGCTTTTCTTTGTTGTATTTATTATTTTAATTCTACAAGGCTTTTGTTGGACTGCTGTCCAGCTTTCCGTTCCCATTCTTTTGCTTTTATCAAATCTGGGTAATCTTCTCCTTTTGTAAAGGATAATCAGTAGATTTCCTTTCTGACACTGCTTGATTGTCCTGCTTCAAAATTACCTCTTGGTGTTGTTCACTATCAAATAGAATGTGGACCTACCTCTCTTAAATTTGCTTAAATGTTTCCTAATGAATAATGAGGAGAAACATCGGGTTCTGTTTTTGCTGTTGTCGGGAAGAGAAGATCCAAATACATATTTAAGGCAGTATTGAGAATGACAAAGCTGGTTTCATAGTGAAAAAGTATTAGTGAAATGCTGGCAGCAGTGTATAAGGAAACAGTATCTATGCATTTGATTTAATTTTTGTAACTGTTTTAAATGACTTTTGGGGGGAAAAATGTAAATTTGGAACAAATGAATATGTTCAAGCTTCAGTTCTTCATTTCAGTGTCTTCATTTGTGATGTGAAGAGTATATCAGTTGCTGTAAATTAGGCCCCCAGACTGTGCTGGGTGAAAATGAGGCTTGATGTCAGACTGCTAAAAACCATTCAGTTTGAAGGAGAAAATGAACGAGCAGGTTCTAGACAAAGGAAAGTTGTTTCTGCACTGGAAAGGAGCGCCAGCATTCAGCTATCAGCAAATGGTTCATTTTGATCATAGTATTTGGCTGTTCCTTCACCTCCTTCCACAGAAGATTAGTCCTGTAGATGAGACAATTACAGTTCTGTGGGAGGACATCTTTTATAGCTGCATTTTGGACAAGCACCTTCAAAGCTGAAATGTACATATCTTCCCACAGAACTGTACAGAAATGGTCAGCTTTAGGGAAACCTCATCTGAGCTCATTTTATGAATGGCTCGGGCTGAAATTTTTGAGAGCTGGTCTGAAGGGATCAGAGCAGGTGTGGTTCTTGGCATCCGGCTGCTTGGAAGCAGAGAAATGTGCCAGTGGGCCTGCCCCATGAGGAGCACCTGCCGTGGGCTGGAGGCTGGTAACACGCCCTGGCCTTCTCAACTCTTTCCATGAGAACACATAGGACTCAGGAAACTGCTCCCCAGAATAAGCTGCTGGCTCAGTGCTGTGGGGAACCAGGAGGGACTCTGGTCACTGTTGGCTTTTGCTGACTGAATCCATAGCGAGTCCACAAGGCAAAAAGGACCAGAAGTGTCTATGCATTAAAAAAGCATGTGCATAAGACTTGCACAGCTATGCCAGGCACTTGTTCTTAACAAGTGCTAACAGCAAACTGTACGTAACTGCTTCCGTAGCAGCAGTGTTAATGCGTAGCAATGACCATTCCAATTCTATACCACATGCTGATGTTGTGTTTGGGTAAGTGGAGAGGGAAATATGTATATTTGTGTCAGAAACTGGAAAGATAGTTGTTTCTTTTGGTGGAAATAAATATCCATATTTATGTCTAGATATCATTTAATTTATTTTTTTCGTTGAATAATCAGTTTAAGGGGAAATAGCCTGAACCTGTCCTAAGTATCCCTAGACCTATGTAGGCAGTTTATGTAGTCTGTTCCACACATAGGATTCCTACGAATGGAAGCACGAGATGAGTCATGAGAGCATGCTGCTGAGGATTGGGCTCATCCTACCTACCCACACGTGCCTGAGCTTCTTCCAAAGCAGGGAGGAGTGAGAATCTCCTCTCAAGAAATGCAGCTTACTGAGGACTCCCCTGGAGATGCCCAGGGCTCTCCCTGTTAATGATGGGGACCACTCTACATGCTCAAAGTGATACAGGATGAATATGGATTTGGCCTGTGTATATCTGAACCCTCTCAGTCCAGCCCTGTTTTCTTGCATACGATGTTCAGTCTTGGTCAGTCCAGCAAAAGTATTAGAAAAATGTAGTAATTTTTTTTTTCCTTTTGCCACAACTCCTCCTTTCCTGAATAAAAGCCTATATTTTGTGGGGAAAAAAGCTAATAATCTTGACATTCAGAATGACGTCTGCTACTTTTAGCTTAGTGAGGTGGGAAAACTGCAAAATGTTGGTATATTGACAGCACTCTTGTAGCCTCAAGCAAAGAATGCTGGGGATGTTCTTTTTCAGTAAGGATTAACCTGACTGAGCAATGTGCAGTGCTGTCTGAGTGCGGTGTAGAGGGAGAAGTTGTCAGCCTGTTGGTTATACTGAGAGCTGGACAAGCAGCATAGCAGAGAATTTATCATGTGTAGCTTCCTACTTTGTGTTGTAATATTTAGCAGCATCGTTATGCGAACCGTTGTTGGAATTCTGCTGTTTGCTTGTTCTCAGCCTTAAGCATAACGTGTAGAAATGACTGCTGGGAATAAATGACTGCTGGGAATAAAGGAGCGTGCCAGCGGCCTCATTCACCTCTGCCATCCAGATCTTCTTAAGTCTTGTGACAGTGCCACAATATTAGCCACAAAGCCACAGTTCCTGTGGTGTTTCAGTATCTGGTAAGGCTGTTGGTGCCAATGGGATATTTCATGAAGGAGAACGGTTTCAAACTTAGATGAAGAGCATGGAATTGTTAAGTATGATTGTAAAGAAATAATGGTTCTTGTTTATTCAGTGTTTTTGTTCTAGAAGGTTATAAATGTTTGTTCCGTTCCTTCTCTGTCAAGTCTCCTGCCCAGAATAAAGTTACTCTTGAAGAAACACTGACTGATGAGAGTCCTTATGTTGTGCTGAGTTTTAATAACAATGCTTTGGTTTGGCTGCTTTATGGTTACTTAACAAGCCTTCCATTCAGTGCCCTCTCTGGTGGGTGCTGCCTCTGTACCCGTGCTCTTTCTGCAAGTTCCTTGGCCGTATAATGTGAGTCTAAGCACATGGTTTCTGCCACGTTCTGTAAGCTTTGAATCTAATATGTTAGTCTTTGGATGTCAAATCTGAAATTAACTAAAGTGTGGGAGTAGAAGGGAGGGTCAGGCTGGATATCAGGAGAAGGTTCTTCACCAGAAGGCGGTGGGCATGGCCCTGAGCTGCTGGAGTACAAGGAGCGTTTGGACAGCGCTCACAGGCTGGGTTTGGATTAGGGGTGTTCCTGTGTGGAGCCAGAAATTGGACTCGATAGTCCTTGTGGGTGCCTTCCAACTCGGGATATTCTCTGATGCCACGAGAGAAATACATCACACCCTGAAAGAAGGACATAACTTGATCTCTCTGTGTTGTGTCAGCTCCTCCCATTTCTCCCACTCCTTTCCAGGCAGTAGAAGCTGGTTGGTAACTTTCAACCCCAACTATTTTCCTGCAATTTCAGTGGCTTGGAATTGATTGTACAGGGGAAGAACCGGATGTGAGATCAAGAAATGAGACCTGCATGCAGAAGTGTGACAGTTCCAGATTGTGGTGCGTGCAAAAGAGAAGGAAGGAGCTCAGAGATTTGGGGGGGCAGCAGTGGGAGAGTAAATGAGCAGAGCAAGTCGTTCCCCCTGCTGGGACCGAATAGGGAAAAGAAGAGGTACAAAGAGATTGAAAAACGCCTGGTACGCGTGGTGCCGGGCACAAAACAATGGCAGACTGCCCCATGCAGTGCCTCACTTGGATGTGTCTGCAGTCTTGGAAGCTTGACTACCCTACGTTCTCCTACAAATGGACCTTGAGCTTGTTTGGAGGTTCTAGCAGGGGAGCGCAGCTACCGTATACCCTTGACCGATGAACGGTACCGTCTCTATCGGGGAAGGTCGTCCTCTTCGACCGAGCGCGCAGCTTCGGGAGGGACGCACATGGAGCGGTGAGGGAGGAAGGGGACACCCGCCTAGCCAGCCAGATCAGCCGAATCAACCCTGGCGATCAATGGGGTGACAGATGTCGCAGCCAGATCGCCCTCACATCCGAGGACGCTTGACTTCCCTAGAGCTATATAAGGGCTAATATCTTGATGTCTTCAAGGTCATGGTGACATACGGTGGGTCTGAAAGCTCCAGAAGACGGACCGAAGAAGAACCTCTCAGCGCTATTTCAGGTCTAAACGCTTTTGCTCTAAAATACTCGGCGCACGTCAACGTTCTTTCTCGCTCCGCTTTCCACCCAGCAGGCCTTGCGCGTTATGCAAAGCAGAGCCTTCCCACTGGCGGGCAGCGGGGGGCCGTGCCGGCCGCCCTGCCTTGGGGGGCGGCACCGGGAGGGCTCGGAGCGTTCGCCCCGCGCTCTGCGCGACACTCAGCGTCCCGCGGCCGTGCGCTCCGAACCCGCCGGCTCCTGGGCAGCGACCCGCGGTGCGGGTACGTGCGACCCCGGCCCTGCGAGGCGGGGGGTGTGCGGGGCGTCGGGCGGGGAGCGGCTCTCGGGGAGCGTGTCCAGCCGGGACTGCGAACGGCTTCCCGTGCTCGTGCGCGGGTGGTTCTGCTGCTCTGACACGAGGGTGGCCCGGCTTGGAAAACCTCTGAGAACCGTTATGTCGCTTGGTTGGAAACGTGGCTGTTAGCGGATGGACGGAGTAACTCAGTGCTGACAGTCGCGTTGGTGAGGCCAGCGCGGGCTGCCCGGGGGTGGCGGGTCACCGTCCCAGGAGGTGTCCTGAAACGTTTCGGTGTGGTTCTGGGGACGCGGTTTAGTGGGGATGTATGGGTGGCGGGTGGATGGCTGGTCTGGGTGATCTGGGGGGGTCTTTCCCAACCTTACCTTGGGGATTCTCTGATTCTGTTATTCTACGATTTTCCAGCCTTAAAGATTCTGTGGCTCTGTTAACACTTCTGCTGATGTACTCAGTGGCAACTCTTGTTATCTCCTGCTTAGCATCTGACCTCCCTTTTTCAGGGCTTGGGGGGAATCAAAGAGCTGCGACCATGCCACAATAAAACCAAGTCTGTACAGCAGCTTTACTGAAACGTTTTGTCTGAAATTAACCCAATTTTCTGTCCTGTGGGTGACTTGTGAACCAGTATTCCAAGAGCCATCCATTTTTTGAATCGTTTATTAATGGATTTCTTTTACATTGTTAGGTAAAGGAAGTCTGAAGCCATGGCTGCAAAACCTGTACTCTACTACTTTGATGGAAGAGGCAAAATGGAGTCGGTCCGCTGGCTGCTGGCTGCAGCTGGGGTCGAGGTTTGTTCCATCTTTGTAACATTATTCTGTGTGTTTTAGGCTTGTCTGTGAGTCAGAACATGGGTCATTAATCAAAGAAGTACCCCTAGATGCAATAAGAAGTACAGGCTATTCATTTAATGCAGTCGGTTTAGGTGCGCAAAAGTTTTAAGTTCCATCTCTTCTCAAACGTGACACTATCATCCAAAACTGCTTAATCCAAGAACAATTAATGATTAAGCCTTCTTAAAGTTCCTTACCCAGCACTGTTGAGCTTAATGATATATTTGTTCTGGGCATAACAAATATAATGTGCGCCAAGGCAAACAGCAATGAATTTGCTTTGTCTGGTCTTTATCTTTTTGGTTGGAATGCTCATTTGTGGATTTTTATGTTTTCCTTCCATCCTTACATTGTCCTGCTTGCACCATATAGGAAGATGTAGCAGGGTGAAGTGAACAAGATGACTGTAACAGCAACTTACACATGTATGGCACGTGCAAACACGTACATGTAGATGCCTAACATTGGTGTCTTCATCTTGAACTGATTCCCTCCATAATTAACAGCCATCTTCAACCACAGTGATTATAACTACATCATACATATCACAGGCAATTCTGCATCTGTTCGTTTTTCATCTGGTGAATAATTCATCTTCAGATGTCCTAAATACGCATTAAACTTCCTGCTTGGCATAATTACTGAGCATCATTTTGCAAAGGATTTGTTTTAACTTTCTAAGAATTTGTTCCTGTCTTGCTCCCATATCAACCTATTGGACTGCAGAGCTCTTTTCCACATATCAGAAAGCACTCTAAGGACAGCCTGCTCTGTCCTGTTGAATGTCTCAGATTAAATTCCCTCTTCAGTACCAAATAAAACATCCTCACTCTGGTTCTTAATGCCAGATTTTCTATGGGATTGCCTTTAACAGCATTTCTCAAACTAAGGGCACACAGCACCTTGCTCTGGAAGATAGAAATGGGGAACAGAATAAGTCCTGCATAATCCATGACCTGCTTCAAAAGCTGGACATTCACAAGTCCATGGGGCCAGATGGATTGCACCCAGGTGTGCTGAGGAAGTTGGTAGATGTGGTTGCCAGGCCACTCTCCATCATTCTTCAGCAGTCCTGGCTAACCGGGGATGTCCTGGTGAAATGGAGACTGGCAAGTGTGTCAGAAAGGGCCAGAAAGATGATCCTGGTAGCTTCAGACTGTTAGCCTCACATCAGTGCCAGGGAAGGTTATGGAACGGATAATCTTGAGAGCCATCATGGATCAATTAAAGGTGAACCAGGAGATCAGGCACAGTCAGCATGGGTTCATGAATGGTGGATCCTGCTTGACAAACCTGATTTCACTGTATGACCAGGTGACCCACTTAGTGGATGAAGGTAAGGCTGTCAATGTGGTCTAACTGGACTTCAGGAAAGCCTTTGACACTGTCCCCCACAGCGTTCTTGTGGAGAAGCTGGCTGCCCACGGTTTGGATGGGCGTATGCTTCACTGGGTGAAACACTGGCTGGATGGCCAGGCCTGAAGAGCTGTGGTCAATGGAGTTAAATCCAGTTGGCAGCCAGTCACAAGCGGCGTCCCCCAGGGCTCGGTACTGGGGCTGCTTCTATTAACATCTTTATTGATGATCTTGACGAGGGCATTGAGTGCACCCTCAGTAAGTTTGCAGATGACACCGAGTTGGAAGGGAGTGTTGATCTGCCTGAGGGGAGAAAGGCACGACAGAGGGACCTGAATGGACTGGGTCGATGGGACAAGGTTATCTGTATGAGTTTCAATAGGGCCAAGTGTCAGGTCACAACAACCCCAGACAACCCTACAGGTCTGGGGAGGAGTGGCTGGAAAGCTGCCTGATGGAAAGGGATCTTGGTGTACTGATGGACAGTCAGCTGAATATGAGCCAGCAGTGTGCCCTGGTGGCCAAGGCCAATAGCATCCTGGCTTGTATCAGGAATGGTGTGGAGAGCAGGACTAGGGAAGTAATTCTGTCCTGTACTCGGCATTGGTGAGGCCTCACCTCGAGTGCTGTGTTCAGTTTTGGGTGCCTCAGTACAGAAAGGACATGGAGGAGCTGGAGCAGGAACAAAGAAGGGCAACAAGGCTTGTGAAGGGCTTGGAGAATATGCCCTATGAGGAGAGACTGAAGGAATTGGGGCTGTTTAGTCTGGGGAAAAGGAGGCTGAGGGAAGACCTTATTGCTCTCTTTCAATACCTGCAAGGTGCTTACTGCAAGAATGGGGTTGGTCTCTTCTCACTGGTGACAGGTGACAGGACGAG